GTGCAAGATGTTGCACGTCCGTGCAGGAGTGCAGACCTGAAGCCATCTTTCTGCCAAGGCCTGCACGGACGTGCCAAATATTGCACGTCCGTGCAGATGATGCAGCACGGACGTGCTTCCGTGATTATGAGGCAGCACGGCCGTGCAAGATGTTGCACGTCCGTGCAGGAGTGCAGACCTGAAGCCATCTTTCTGCCAAGGCCTGCACGGACGTGCCAAATATTGCACGTCCGTGCAGATGATGCAGCACGGACGTGCCAAAGGTGCACGCCCGTGCTGTAGCAGGTCGTCTTAAACTGAGTTTCTGCCTTGGTCTGCACGGACGTGCCAACTTCAGCACGTCCGTGCAGACCTACAGTTTACCCGTTTCTTGTTTTCACCGTCCTCTTATTTTAGGGGGTAATATAAATAGCCCCTTTGGACCATTTTAGAGGGGTTCCCAATTCTTTTCCAGATTTTCATACTCCTCTTAGTTTGAAACACAAAAATCCTCAATTAGCATAGATTTTAGTTCTTGTTTTGAAGGTTTTCAATCCAATCATTGTAGAAGACAAGTTCCCCCATTGTTAGTCAATTATTGAAGCTTCTAGTAATTTTTCTTACTCTTTCTTTCTCTCTTCTATCTTTAATTCTTTTTTTTATTAATTGTTTGGTTGTTCTTTGCATGTTTGATTGTTAGATTCTACTAATTCTTAGTTTTAATTTGTTCATGAATTCCTTGAAATCTTTAATTGCTTTAACTTCCATGGATTGTGAGTAGTCTAATTTCTAGGGTTTGGGTGAACCCTCAATGTAATCACCAACACTTGTTGCATGTACTAATTTGTTAATTGTGGGGTGTTAATTAGTTGAGCTTAAGAGGTTTCATTGTTAATTCTTTTAATTGGCCATTGCTTGAATTATTTATCTAGCTTCCTCAACGAAGGATCGAGAGATGAACTTGAGGAAGCTCCCTTATGCTTGATTGACTTGATTTGCCATGAGAATAGGAATTTCTAGTCAAGGGAATTTGCATGTTATCGTGAGGATGTTTTTAACACTTGTTTCTTGCCCATAATCACGAGAGTAGGTTATGGTTTTGATGTCAAGTAATCCCTCTAGCTTGAGAGAGTAGTTGGGTGCATTTGATAACTTCCCTAATTTATCCCCTAAATCACCATTTCTATGCATGCTACTTGTGTCCGTGATGAAGTTGAGTGGTGTAACCCATGCCCTAGGCCTTCTTAATATTGTTAATCACCTCTTAGAATTAGTTGATTTGAATTAGAATAGTGTGACGTAATACCAACTTAAACCCCCGACTTAATCTAGCTTGTTTAAACAATAACATTTGGTGGTTGATTCAACGCCTCTCATGGGTTCGACCCTTTCTTGCCCTTGCTACTAGTTGAGTAGGATCGAGTTAGGTCTTATTTCTTGATAGGTTGACGACGTCCTATCAAATCCCTACATAGATATTCAAGGGGCGTCCGACAAAGAGAATTTTGGGGGGCCTTAAGAGGTTTGGACTTTGGACCACTTGAGGTTTGACAAGTCAAAACCTCTAAAGGTGGTGTTGGTCAATGGAGTTTTTAACTAAGAGTTTTGGCCTCATAACTCTCTTTTCCAAAAAACTGAGTTGAGCAGCATTTTCATCAGAATTTTAGATTACTTAATGTCAATTGACAATTTTGTTCATTATGTACAATCCATAAACCTAGGGAAAAATATAAGACAAATGCCATAAATGTAAATTCACATGAACAAATAATTTTAACTTTAGCAATCAGTTATGAGTTTACCTCACACAAATTTATACTTCCTCCGTTTCAAAATTAATCGCAACAAATGAATCTTTTATATCTCACAAATAATACCCATTTGTTACGATTAATTTGAAACAGATAAAGTATAAACCTTTTCAAACCAATAGTCAAACCCACTAAACAAAAAGTTAAAACTCTAATAATCCAAATGGATGACATTGCTTGTATCCAATCAATTCTTATTTCTTAGCAAAGCTTATGCAGGTGGGGAATGCTTCTTTATCCTCCAACAATGTCGCAACATCATAAAAAATAACAGTTGGGAAGTTGAGTTGGCTCATTGTTACAGAGAAGGCAATGCGGTAGCGGATTGCCTTGCTAATAGAGAAATATTCCAACATGAAAGTTTAGGACTCGTTCGATAACTATTTTTTTTTCTGTTTTCACTTTTCAGTTTTTTTGAAAACTAAAAATAAAAAATCAGAAAAAGTGATTTTCACTGTAGTTTTCATTTTCAATATAGAATCGTAGGTAGAAAAACCGATACACATAAGGATACAAATAAAATAAATATATAACTATAAATACAGCTGCTAAGTGCTAACTTGCTACCGTAAATACAACCCACATACGGCTACTGAAAATAAAAAAGAACAGCTACTGAAATTATGGTGTAAAATAAAGATACAATAAAAATACGGCTGTACACGTATTGAATAACCGACAATACAATACTTGTATATAAATACGATCACCCACAACAAGTCAACAATTTCCCTCCATTATTTATATTTATAAATAATAGATAATTTCTCCCAAATTTCCCTCCACATTCTAATTTCCCCCTTTCTTACTTTAATCAAATCAAAACTCCTAATTAAGAACCCTAATCCTAGTTTCCTTATTATCGATCATCCATTTCAGCATCAAATCACTTAATCGCTACGTAATTTCAGCATCAGATCACTTAATCGCTACGTAATTTCAGCTCGCGCACATCCAATTTTACTAAAGGTACGTAATTTTTACTAATGCGATTTTGGGGGGTTTTTAAGTTTGTAGTCTTACAATTAATTTTCGTGCTACATTGCTTGAATTTCTTATCTAACTCATTCGTTTAACATTGTAATATATTAAACGAAATTGGTAATGTTTTAGATAATTGGGTTAATATATAGGCGGTTTCTAATTGCTTCATCCATTACAATTTCTCCCAATCCAACCCTAATTTGCTGCCAATTTTTTCCATCGAACCCTAATTTTAGTAAAAAGGTCGATTAACATTAACCCTAGTTTGCTGGCTGCATAATAATTGTGGTTCTACAGTGAATAATAAATTAATTGTTATTACGCGGTTTTGGGAATTTAGGGTTTTCTAGCGGTTTGTATTGTGTAAAATGCAATTGTTTGTAATCTTACAATTTTCGTGCTACATTGTTTGTATTCCTTTTCAATTTTGGGCTTTATTGTAGCAGTTTTATGTGTGAATTTCAGGTTGACTTATGCATCTCTGTTATCGGCCTTTTTTTTTTTTTTTTTGGAAAAAAATTCTATGAATAATTAAGATTTTGAAAGTGAACATCATCATCTTTGTGATAGTTCATTTCCTCCTCCTCATCGTCATCATCATCATCTATCACAGAGATTTTGAACGTGATTATGCAATTTATTTATGAGATGGATGCCTTGTCTACCTTCTATATAAATTATCTTTAGTGAAATCATCAATCTAGTATGCTAATTTAGATTGAAATTCTTCCGTTTGTTTGCATTCTATACCCTTCTTAGTTATTCCCTATAATTCACAATTTTATTGAATTAATCATTTTTCATTTTGGTTTATTAATTGCTTCCTCTACCTCATAGAAAATAGAAAATATGGTCGATTCGATGTAAAAGTGAAAAATAAAATTTCACTGAAAAAGTTTGATATGTATAAGTTCTAAAGTGACTTATGCAGTTTATATTACATTTTTTATCAACCCTTTTTTGATTATATGTGCATAAGCTTAAATGATAGTTTAATTACAGTGGTAATTTGGCAATTTGATGTTGCTTTTTGAGAGGGAAACAACTGTATGAAGTGCACTATGATTCCGATGACTCGAAAGTGTAGTGCTATGCATCACTCATCAGTATGTGGAAGTTGTGCTCTTGATTATCTGTCTTGATAATTTTACTTGATTTTTTCAGCATGGTTATTTTATCGATTTGAAAAGTTGAAGATTGCAATTATAGGAGAAGCTTGGAGAAGGATGATGATTGTCTTATTGAAAGGTATGCAATTTATTTTTTTACTTTTACTTTCAAATATGCGATTTTGGGTTAATGCTTTATGTGACAATGTAAAAAGCAATTGCTTAATATTTATTCATGAATTATAACTTCAGGCTTTTGCTGTGATGGTTTATTCTTGAAAATTTTGCTAAAATTGCAATATAACTGAATTGGTATTAAGGGATTTAGAGGCTGTTTCAAATTGCTCAACTATGTGAGAATTCACGTTACCTGATGACTTTGTGACTTCTGAAGTGTCAGCGTTTAAACCCCCAACTTTAGCATGGTGCTCACTGCTCAGAATTCACATTATCTCTGCTCTTTGTAGTTGAGGCTGATTGGTTTTTGATGTTTATTTTGACTTTCCCCTGGTTTGCCACCTTGTCATTTTTCTGTGGTAGGCCTACTGTTGCTGCTGTTATTGATTTTATGAGTGGTATCAATATTGAAAAAGCAAGCTATGTACTGTCACTCTGTCAATGATAGTAGATTAGTGGACTCATCATAGTGAAGTTCTCATTGAAGGTGTTGATTTTGTTATTCTGCTTTTTTTTAAAGGTCTCTTTGGTAAGGAGAATTCCAGAATTTTGTTTTACTCAATCTTGAATATGGCACGTGCCCGAATAGTTCTTGTGATGGAGTATGAAACTAAGCTTGCTTCTTTGTCTCAAGATAATGTTCTTACTAATGTTGACGTCCACTTGAGCTTGCCCCTTACCTTACTATAATATTATGCTGTATTTCTTGCTCCCATACTTATGATATTGAGTTTTTTTAGCATAGGCATTTGTTGCGATAGTTTTTTCTGAGAATTAGTGATGAAAGTCTTTCTCTGCAGCCCTTATAATCTAATATTAGGGCCTATGACAAGGTAAACCCAGTGGGGCAGTTCATTTGTGGGGGTACTCCACCTTTATGAATATGTTTTCTATGTTTCCTTCTGATATTATTCTTTGTGATTTTGTCTATATATATATGAATTTTTTTTTGGTGGTATGCTTCTTATGCTCTTGACTGGGACATTGCATTGTGGACGGTATGCTTCTTATGTTCTTGACTGGGACATTGCATTGTGGACTACTTTTTTCTTTTCCAGGAGGCCACCAGGCGGTTTACCACTGACTGCTGCATCAGTAAGGGCTTCTGTCCAAGCTCCAACAATGCAAAACTGTTTACAAATCTTCTCTTCTCCGAGCTATTTTTCATTGTTTCTCTCTTATTAATAGTATTTTATTTCAATTAAAAATCAAATTTTGGATGATTAATGATTATTTTTCGTGTTCTTAAAAGAATAAAATAAACTGGCTCTTGTGAGTGATTGGGTCAAAGGTACTTGTTTTTCTATTTCTGTGATGCAAATTAAACTGCAAATTTCAGTTTTGAATTTAATATTTTTTATGAATTGAGTTTGCAGTCTTTTTTTTCAATTTTTTGATCATATCACTGATGTATTGTAGCTGGATTTTGAATTTATCTGATGCTTAGTTTTTTTCACATCATTGCGATTTCGATTAAGTGTTTGAAGTGTGAATTGTGATCTATATCAAATGGGTCTCTGAACCATATATGTGATCATTGCTGAAAGGGTCTCTCTGAGGGTTAATGAGGCAATCAATTAACTGAAGATATATTTATACAGACATGTTGAGGAGATGACTGAATCTGATGAGTTCAATGTACTATGATCCATCACTCGTATTTCTAAGGTGCTGAAAATAGAACTATAATTATTGCAGATCTAATTTTTGATTTATTAGGATTGCATGGACTGTATGTAGTTTGATTTAAAACATTATATTATATATATATATATATATATATATATATATATATATATATATATATATATATATATATATATATATATATATAGGGTGGATCCCATGAGAACTCTCATAACATGAGAACCATGAACTCCTCAAATTTAGAACATATGCAATACTTTTTAGAACATAGAAACCTAAACAAATATACATGTTCTAAAATTTCAAGGTAATGTTTTCAATTATTGTGTTTAGAACATAACCTTCATAATTCAGAAAACAAAAAATTCAAAACATAACCTCAAAAATAAAGAACATAATTTTGATGTTTTAGAACATGACCTTGATATTTTAGAACGTGCATGTATGTGTAAGTTTTCATGTTCTAATAAAGGTAACATATGATCTAAATTTGAGGAGTTCTCATGGTTCTTATATAAAATAGTTCTCATATATATATATATATACTTAAACAGAGTTTCACAGGGTTATCCAATGCAGGTTATGTAAACTGTGAAGTGTTCCACGGGAATCAAAATCACCTAATGATATCTTAGGAAGGTGTATTCCATCTAGTGTAAGCTTATTTAGGAAGGAGTACCTCATTAAAAGATTTTCAGCTTTGAATCTTAGCAAGTATGGTTACAGTGGTTCTAATGTTCTATTGTGCAATTTTTTTATTTAATTAACTTAAACTAATTAGATTTCAAGAGTGAAAATTGGACCAATAGCAAAAGGTAGAGAAGCCAAAGTTTTAAACATAAATAGTCAATAATTTGCCTGATTGATGTTGTTGTAGATTCTGTTTTGTTACAATTCAAAAGCGGGGTTTGATTGCAGTTAGTGCAAACTTATCAAGACTAGTATTGGTTCTTCATTGTGATTATTGGATTAATAACTTTCGGTTTTTCTATGTCTAGGCTTCTAATTGTGCAGCGGGATTATGTTTTGGTCTTAATTATCCAAACTACTATGGGCAGCTTAAAGAATGTCAACGGATAGCTGTTGCAACAATGTACTCGCGGAAGATGCTGAAACAATATGCAATAATGGTAATAGCGAGGCCAACTCTACGTTCATTTGTTGTTATGTGAAAATCTGAATTTGTGCTAGCCATTAAAATTGGATGTCTTCATATTTGTTATATTGTTTATGCTTTAAACTTTTGCATTTTGTACTTGTTAGCTAGCTCAATCATGTCTACATTAATATGAAATTTTGCCCAATCGGCTCACAAGAGAGTCATGTCTTGCCTTTTAACACTTGTTAGTAACTCAAAGTGACATGATACCATTAAATCATTAATTGCAAACGTAATCTCCTATTCGTAATGAATCCACTATATGAAGTCATAATTCAGCAGTACTATGCTGCACAGAAGAGAATTTCTACATATTTTAGTTTTACAACTTAAAATTACTTGGCCCTCATCAAATTTTAGAATTACCAAATTTTAAGAAAGCAAAAAATGATAAAAAAAATAAATGGTGGCATCTTTTCCTGTATGACCGTTTTAAATACAACTCATGATTATCGTAGACTTCTGTGCTAGTTATTTAATTTTATCTTTTCTTAACCCTTTTTTGACAAGCCTACAGCTCAATTGGAAGAGCAGCGTGCAAATGGACACGGATGTGGGTTCGAATCCCTCGTAGGCTCTTCTATCTTTATATATTTCTGAAGATGAATAGCGTAGAATCGGATGATTTACACGATCAGATATAATCTGAATTCGTGAAGCATAGTTTTTTGAGGAACTTTGAAAACTGTTGGTAATACAGCCTAGAAAAATGGAAGGAATATTATTGAGGAGATAGAGAAATAGTAATTTTGTAGCAAAGAATTGATTGGCATAATTAATATAGTATAACCAATTTAAACTGTAATGGAAGTGAAAATATATAACAAAATTTTACCTAAAACGCTAAACCATGTGCAAGACAAGTAGCATTTATAAAATGAGATTATTTGGGTCTTTAAAGCTAGAACGGTGTCTTATAAAATAAGTTGCTCAGGTTATACGAGGCTTAGTAGCAGATTAGCATTGAAAGCTTTGTTAACTTATGTTATAAAAGTTCTTTGAAACTTTCAAATGTCATTATGCCAGAGCAAGTTACTAGTGGTAATGACAAGTTGTATGAGGCTCCGGAGATTTTTCCTGAAATTGACTGTATGAACCCTGAAGTGTCTGCTTTTAGACCCACAACTTTGGAAGGGTATGTGATCTGCTTGAAAACTCTTTTCAATTTACAACTGAAAACTTCCCTTTCTATTGTAAAACTGATAGGATGGTGAGTTACTATCCCTGTGCTTGGCAGCTGAGTCTAATTGGTTCATGATGTCCACTCTGACTTTCTTGAGGTTGCTGCAGGCGTTGGTGACACTTAGCACCCTATCATTTTCTGTCGATAGGCCTACAATTACTGCTGTTATGGATTTTATGTGTGGTATCAAATGTTGAAGAAGCAAGATATGAAACTGTCAGTGACAGTAAATCAATAGACACTCATCAACATGAAATTCCTGTTGACGGTGTTGATCCATCAACTTCTGTTGCACTGTCTGTTTGCCAAAGGTCTCTTAAGAAGGGGTAGTTTAGAGTAATTTTGAGCTTGGTCTTGAATATGGCATGTGCACAAATAGTTCTTGTGATGGAGGATAAAACTAAGCTCACCACTTTGTCGCAAGATAATCTTCTTACTGATGTTGAGCTTCACCTGATCTTACCTCTTACTTTTGATATTTAATTATGCTGTGTTTGTTGCTTTCATTCTTTTGAAATTGAGTTTAGCTGATCTGAAGTTGTTCTTCTTAGGTGTTTCCTTCTTCGTTGAGTGTCAAGGCTGCCATAGTAATCTGAGTATACATGATGACAATATTTCTCTGGAGCTCCTATAATCTTAGGGCCTGTGTCATGAGAATCCTGGGAGGAGTTCATTTGTAAAGGTACTTGACTTTGGTGAATATGTTTTCCTTGTTCCCTTCATTTTTTTCCCTGTGGGTTTTGCCTTTATATCTATGAATATTTGTTTGGTGGTATACGTATACCTCTTATGATTATGGGTTACCATGTTTGTCATGGAGATTGGGTTATCATAGCTCGACCAGGTGGCTTTGGTCTCTTCCAATGTCCACTGGTCAAGTTGCTTCTCTGACTGCCTCTCCAGGAGAAATTAGTGATAGACTTCCAATGTGCTCAGCTGGACATTTCCTGGTGGAACCATGTTATTCTTCTTCAGGAGGCCCACAACGGCCACCAGTTGGCCTTGTATCCACTTCTGCATCAGTAAGGGCTTCTGTCCAAGCTCCAACTATGCAAAATTGTCCTCCAAAATCTCCTTTCTCTGAGGCAGTCTTCTTTCTTCTCTTTTATTTAGTACCCCTTAATTCGATAATTGATATGAGAAAAAATTAAAAATGTAATTTGCATCTTTTCAAATATCTGGTGCTTGTAATAATGCAAAGCTGTTTGACGAAGTGGATTCAGCGTGCAAGATTATGCGTGATTGGGACAAAGGTACTTGTTTATTCTATTTTTGATACAAATTATAATTTGAATTTCAGTTGTTCTATACTGTCAAGTTTTGAATTGATTGAAATTTTTTGATATGTTGAGTTTTGTAGTATCTACTTATTTTTTACCGATCATATCTCTAGGTATTGTAGCTAGATTTTGAAATTAAAGTAATGTAACATTGTGACTGACTGTAGGTCAGTCACTATGAGGTGCTCAATAGATGTTAATGGATTGTGTAGCCTAAGAAGGAAGTTATGGTGGGCAGTTTAACATATTAAGATATGGTTAGAATAACATTGTCGTGTTGCTACTGTGCATGTTGAATTATTCTGTGTATGTGTTGTATCTAATGCAGTTGAAATAATGAGCTGGCAGCACAACATTCTGTCCCTAATGGATCTCAAATCATAGAACATCACCATGGCTAACATCTAGATCGTGGAAAGAACAGAGATAATAAGAAGAGCAAGGCATTAGCCTAGTTTTCTCACAGTGGCTCTTCAACATTGTAAGAACTCTTTCTTTCCATATCTTTTCCCTATCCCACAACTTTGATATTATATACTGTGTTGAACAGAGTCAGTATGATTTATGTTTACTTAACATTCTCTTTTTGTTCCATTGTGTATTCATAAAAGTTATAAACGATATGCTGTTTCTATATTCATCATTGTTGGTAGCTTCTCAAATGGTTGTATTAAGGCATATCTTGTATGGCTTAGAGAGTTTGAGATAAGTTTCATATATCTGAATACTATATGATTGCTTCTTTTTTTTCTTTTTGGTATGTGTTCATGATGAAGTGTATTTTTATCTTGTTATTCCAAAGTCCGAACATAAGAAGAAAGTTTGTCCCGAGACTGCCTTCTAGGACTCAGTTACAAAGTTCTACTGGACATTGATGATGACTGTGAAATTCCTCAGATAAGAATTATTTATCTGATGATATTCTAAAGATTTGTAAGCTTTATTTTATAACTAAATTTATTAGCACTACTTGTTAGCTTTGGCACCATTACTGTTCTTCTTTTCAGGTCTTTTGACTTCCCAAACTTCCAATTCAACTTATCAGATATTTTGTAGTTTGAGCTTGTATATCATTGTTCCTTTGTTTTTTCTGATTTTCGGTTTATATCAAAAGACTAACCAAGCTTAACTGATCCTGCTTAAGGCTGCAAACAGGTTTATCATATGTGATATACCACTATTATCTGCAGTTGACCGATGTGAAATTTTCCAATTTCTAAAACATAAGGTTGGTCTATAGCTCTTCCCCTTCCCAAGACTGGTCTTGTTAACATGTTTGATGACTGACATCTTTGCTCATATATTCCCTTGATATTGGTTGATGGAGTGGAGAAAAGTTCCAGGTTGCCTTTGCTTGTTATGCAAGAGCAAGGTAGTGTGATAGTTTATTTTCAGTGTCGCGGTATAGTCATTCATTATGCTTGTCGGGGCCTGGGGTTAAAGTGGAATGATTGAGACGAGTTATCTGAGAATCTTTGTTTTAAGAGTCTGCTCATTTTAGTTGAAAAGAACTTAATTGATCGGAGCTGAACTGAACTGAACTGAACTAAGCTGAAATGAATTGTTTATGAGAGAAGGATATTAGGAACTGAATTGAACTGATTGGAGCTGAACAGAACAGAGCTGAACTGATTGGGGCTGAATTGAACTGAACTCAACTGAACTGAAAATAAGTTGAAGTGAACAGGCCTTAAGATGCAATTTTTCCTTCAGTTTACCAAACGGAATTTACATCATTGTGGTATCATGCTATTGAACAGTCAGCTTTTATAAAAGGTGACATAATATATATCTTACTTAGTGCATTATTTTCAAGATAAACTTCATCCGATTGCTGGAAAATGGAATTAGTGCATAATCCATTTGTTTCGGCCGGTGTAGAATGAAGACGTATCGCAAATTGTTTGAAATCCACTACAACCTTTAATAGACTGTTTTGAGTCAAGAAACTATCAACAACCATCTTTGGCCATGATATGAAAGCTTAAGCTACAGGACTATTTCACGCATGGTGCATGTTTATATCATGCTTGTATTATTTAAGTGCTAATTTTTAATGTCTCAGAATTTTTATGCTAATTGTCTTCCTTTTTGCATGATTATGTTCTTTATAGCCTAAATAACCTTTTGCATGATTATGTATCAAGACTTAGATTCCTTGCAAATTATAAGTCATATTAAGATTAGTAAGCTATTAACTTTATGTGCGTTAGCAATGATGAACTAATATAGAATTACCTCGTGTAGGTAAAATGGAATTCCACGGCTAATGTTCTGTTCTACTTCCTATTTAAGTAGTGTATTATGTTCTCTTTGTTTCTTGCCTTCTTTTCCATTCATTTATGTCATCCCTATATACTGCACATATATATCTATGCAATAATTCATTAAGATGTTTCATCTTTATGAATTCTCTTTCTTTCTTTCTCTGCTTTCATTTTTTGTCCACTTGTAACTATTTCGTTACCATTCCTAAACTCCTCTTTTCAACTATGCCACCAGGATGAAAAGATTGAAAGGAATGGTGTCCTTCCAACAAGTGTATTATTCTGATAGAGAGTTCAGAATTATTACAGAGCTAATTCTTCAGTAAGGTCAAGTGATCGGAATGCCTGGGTGGAGGCCGCTTCCGATCAGTAATATTAAGGTATAATTAATATTACAGCTTAATCTTAACTGAACCCTTCGGGTCGAACCCAATCGAACAACCGATCCGAGACGACGAATTAATCCGATAGATTTAATGAGTCATCGGAGTTTTACGAACACAGACGTCGGATGTCGAGCCCAGGGCTTCGAGTTCGAGCGTCGCAAAAATCACAATCGACTAATACGAGCATAGCCGTACCATCACATTGGCCTAGCCATGTGAAATGCTAGGCTAGGCTAGCTCATCGCAAGCCTAGACGCACCATGTGTGTGCTAGGCGCACCATGGTGTGCTAGGCGAGGCATGAGTGCTAGGCGCACTAGGCTGCCCATCGTAGCACCATGTGCGTGTGTGTGCGTGCCTTCGCATGGCACAGCAGCACCACAACATGTGTGCCTGGGTGCCTAGGCGCCATAGCAGGCCACACGCACCAAGCACAGCCATCGCAGTGCTGGGCACTTGCGTATGTGCGTGTGCGTGTGTGTCTCGCACCATCGCAGCAGCAGCCTCGCACAGCAGCACCATGCCAGGCATCGCCCTGTGCGTGTGCGTGTGCGAGTGCTAGTGCATGCTAGCTATGCGAGAGAGTAGTGCATGCTTGCCAGCAAGCAGCAGCAGCGAAGGGAGCCTCGCCCAGCGCCCAGCAGCCCAGCAACATGCGTGGCTCGCTAGCGTGCTGGCTGGTGCGCATTGCGTGCTGGGCAGTGATGCTGTGTGTGCTAGTCATGCCAGCTGGTGCATGCTGGCGTGATAGGTGGCTGCCATCACAGCCATTGCTTGAGGCGGTTTGAGGTGAGTGGGACCAAAGGCTTGGAGCATGCCTTGGGGAGCAAGGCAATGGTCCCCCCAAGGTTCATGGTCCTCACCTAGCTCTCTCTCCCCCTTGACACTTGTTGCATTGTGATTGATTTGATTATTAATTTAATTTGGAATTAAATTAATTATCAAAATTACTCATTCTCCCACATTGGTTGGGGAATGAAAATCAAGGGTTCATTTCCTATAAATACCAAGGCATGGGTATTTGGGAAAGAACACACTTGAGTTGAAAAGTAAAGGAAACTCCATTGTTGAGCATACCTTGAAATTCGTAAAACTCTAGTTTATTTTGTCCGGGCCTTGACTAACCTTCGAGGCTTAGGACGATCGGGTCGGGTTCGAGGGTACGATCCCGTCGGAGACCTCGCACTATCGGGGTTCAAGTAAGAGCTCATAGTTGAGCAAAGCACGCGTCAAAGGTGTAATCTTTTATCCTTTCTTATGCTTTAAATTATGTTTTGCTTGTTAATTGCATTTATTATGGGGGCGGGTCTTGGCGGGTTTCATTCCGCGTAGTGTGGGTCACTACGAAACCCTACAAAGATGGCTTTGCTTCAATTCATAAATGGCTTC